GGGGGGGGGGAAATCTCTCTTTACTGGACATTTTAGTATTAAAGATTTCCAAGTTTTCACCTATAAGTGAAGATGCTAATTAGAGGTATAAATCAATTAAAAACAGAATAAGGAAAGCACACACTTACCAGTTCTGGATATTATGTAACCATGGAGTTTTGTCATGCTTGAAAAAGCTTCCTGGAGCATGGTGGCGGCTCGCCTTTTGCTCAGCCAAATTTCTGAGAAGCACATCAAAAACAGAGAAGATTCTATCCTGAGAACGGGAAATTGAGGTTGTCAGGAAACATGGATCCATATGCCTGCTTCCCTATTGACTGAACAAACAAAAGACAGCTGCTCAGGCTCACCATCTGCCCTGGAGTGACTCTGACTACAGTGCCCTTTTAAACAAATACACAAGCAGAATGTGGACAAAGGGTTTCTTGTGCAGTTACAGCTGCTTCTTCAAAATATAGGGAGGTTTTAGGGAGGATTGTGAAACATCTAAACATTTGCTGTAAAGACAATGACATAGTCATAGCTGACAGAGCAGGTAAAACAGGTGAGGTGAAGGACTTGCCCCATGTGGCTACCAACGAACTGAGGCATAAGGCGGGAGCCTGAGAGATGTTTTAATCTAGATCAAGTTCCCTTCAACAAACTGTTAAACCGTTTGTTACACACACAAGTACAGGCAGAGTGTGTTGAAGTGAAACTAAGATCATGTTCTGATTCATTAAAACACAAACATTTCTACAAGGGAAAAAAAACAAAAAAAAACAGAGATGGTGAGAATGATACACAAGTTTAGATTTTTGTCTTTGTAGCTCACCTACAAACAAATCCTCAGCAGTCCAGAGAGGATCCGGAGCGGGCAGCGCTCAGTCCAGAGGGTCCGGCAGATCAGAGGTGAGAGCGATCGGGTGAAAACTACGGGCACACACAGAGCTAAGTTGTGAGTGGGTGTCAGCCTACTGCCTCCTTCAGTGGTGAAGTTGTTTCTCTAAAAAAAAAAAAAAAATAAAGAAAAAAAGAATAAAAAATCCAACAGTAGCTCCAAGTGCCGGCCGGTGAGAACCAGAAAGGAGTGAGTGACGGCGGCTGATCTGCTGTGATGACTGTGGAGCTTGACTCATTCAACTCAATTTAAAGCCTCATGGCTCTACTACAGACCTTGCAAGTTTCAGAACCACACCCTGTTTCAGTGCCATGCTCCACCCTCCTGTCCTGACTGAGCCTGGCTGTGATTGGGCTGCTTCATGAATGGTGATGAAGGGGACGTGGTCAGAGAGGTTGGAAGCCTGGGCTTGAGAAACAAATGCCCCCCAGTGGGATATTCTCTTTATCAATAAATAATCAGATTAGGATTTAAAGGGCCCCTTTCTGGATGGTGAAAATATATGTGCTGAAATTTAAACAAGACACAGTTAGCGCCAAAGCAAATCTATTTTTTCCAAATCTGTCTCTCTGAAATGAATTGGGTTAAAGGTCAAATCAGAGCAAGCCATTCGACAGACCAACGTGACTTTTTGGACTTGCCCATCCCCTGTTGTGCTGCAGCCTCAGAGGTGGGGTTGCTACCGAACAGGTTCTCCGGCGCCTCTGGTTTTACCTGTTTCCCTTGCAGGCGAGATGGGCGTCAGCTCTGGATGCTGCTCGAAATATCCTGTGCAGCATGTACCCTTGACGTGGAGATGGACTGGAATGACAGGCATCTGTTGGCGAGAGAGAAGGAGGGAGGGAGGGATGGAAGGATGGAAGTTTGGAGAATTAGAGGAATGCTTGCCTGCTATTTACATATTGTGAAGCACGTGACGTTTGTGTCGCTGACAGCAGGCTTAAAAGACTGTAATTCACTTAGTGTGAGGAGACTATTTTGTACGAACATAGATGTTTACATACACCGCATGAAACGACTTTAATTTAATTTTTACCTTCTTCTTTGGTCAGACTTTCAAAAAATATTTTTCTGCTACAGGCGTAGAATATAAAAAAGAAAAAGATAAATTATTTTTTAAAGGTTGACATTTACATACGTGATTTCTAAAAAAAACTTTGGGAAAGGCTAACAGCCGACGCCATGGCTGTATGTGCCTCTGGTTAATTCACAGTGTAAGGCTGCTTCTTTGTGTGACGTCATGTGAAAACCAAAAGAGATCAACCGTGATATCAGTAAGAGGACAGTGGACAAATAGTTCTGGGTCATTCTTAGATATGATTACCTTAGATAAGATGCCTTAAAGAGCCGTGTTCATCTGCTCAAAGAATTATACAGAAGCATTTCAGTCTGGGAATGCCCAGCCGGTTTTGGCAGGAAATGGATTGAGTTCATTTAAGTCGCATGTATGTGGATCATAAACCAAAAGACCTTATGAAGATGCTAATGGAGGGAGGTAGCAGAGTGTCATTATCCACAATGAGAGACTCTGACTGACAATGTTGGTACAAGACTAAAAATAATCTCTCTAAAAATAAGCCAGATTATAGTTCGATAGGTTGATGAAACTAAAACTCAAAATTTGACCATAATAACCATTTTGACATTTGCAGGGAAAAGAGTGAAGCTTATATGGTTTAGAACAAAATCCCAAATGTAAGAATGTGTCAGCATGATGCCGAGGGGATGACTTACTACGGGACGCACTGTACGTCACAACGTAGATAGCATCGTGAGGAAAGAACACTACTGCCTATGAACCTGACTCAGTTAAACCAGTTCTGCCAAAATTGATCAAAACAAACAAAGGATCATTCCATGGTTGAGGAAGGAAACTCAAAAAAAAAAAAAAAATGGTCCAAATCATTAACTTCATCAAGCAGGGCCACTTAACAATAATGACAGGTACAACAACTGTCTACTTTGAAGAATACAATAAACAAAAGTCTCTGTAAAATTCATCTATCTCAATCTTCAGGCACTTAACAAATAGAAATAATTTATGTTATGCTATAAGACTAAAACAGAAAAATGATGTCTGATAGTTCTGTTTGATTCTTCAGGCTTTCTTTAATAAGTTATAGTACTTCCCTTACAAGAACTCAGACTTTCTTCTCATATATGAACATCTTTAGACAATATGTTGTTCAACAGCCACCACTTTTTCTTGAAATTTGATGAAGAAATTTTAACAGGTGTAAGAGATTTAACCCAATTTAACCCTAACCCAATTTCACCTGCCTTGTTAATCGCTTTAACTCTCAATTTCATTCAAGAATTCAGTTTCACTCACTGACGTTTGAATAAACTGAAAATTAGATGTCACTTACACGGCTGGTTATAAGTGAGGCTTTTTTTTTTTTTTCCAGCACTCTTCTGTTCATTCATGCCAAGAAAAATTAAATGTGATTACTCAAGCTTTTTTTTTCTGACATGCATGTTCAACAACCAGTCAGACAAAAATGTTGGCATCGTAAACCTGGGGAAGAATTGTGCAAAAAAACAAGCCAAGAACAATGGACATTTTTGTCCATTAAATATTGAATATTCCTCATAAAGGTTTCCCCATAAAGGTTTAAGAAACTAACTGAATAGAAATTTAGTGATATCATTCTGAACTGCTATGCCATTTTTTCTTGTTTTAAAGAAATGAAATGAAATAAAATAAAATACAAGAGACAAAACTCTCTTTGTTTTTCTTGTAGCTGCACAGCGTTAATTTAAATAAAGTTTTTGTCTGACTCCAGAACCCAACTCCCCCAAATCAACACAACAGAGTTGCATTCACCTCGTCAGCCCTGACCATTGAATGGATGGCGTTCTCGAGATAAGCTGGTTGCTCCCAATTAGGCCCATTGTGGGAAATTGCACTGAATAGTTGCCCCTCAATTAAACTGAAAATAAGAGGTATAGACCTGCATGTGAGCATGTGTCCCATAGCATGTTAGTTTAGGAAACTCCTGTTATATAACATCACGTTCACATAGTCACCATGCCTGATCAATAAGCCAGTGACACTGACATTCAAGGAATGTGCTACTCTGTGGTGCTTTTTTTTTTTTTTTTTTTGTTGTTGTTGCATAATAAGATGCAGTGTTGTGCATCCCATTGTGAGGAATCCATTGTGAGGAAATACTGCAGTTTTTGCGATGTTTCAATTATTGCAAAGTTTCAACTTTTCTGACCAAAAGTGCTTAAGCATTTATGTATTTGTTTATTTAACTGACACGATACACGGGAAACCTTATCAAAAGATGATTGGGAGAAAAGAACATAGGAAATTTTAAAAAATAAATAAATAAGCATGTTTGATATTATTTTAAAAATTTATTTATCTTGTTAGTTTTCCTGATAAATCAGAAAAAAAATCCCACAAAGTCCAAAAACTAGTTTTTGGGCTTTTTTATTTTGTGATTGAGAGTGGAATATTCCATTTACATATGGATTCACAACCTCTTCCACAATTTGGTGCACACCTGTCTGTGCAGCACTAATAATGTTTGGAAGAATTACAGCAGGTTTTCTTTTTAAAGAATAACAAATATTTTTTGTCCAGATGCAAGGTATTATTATTATTATTATTATTATTATTATTACAAAATATTCATGATAGAAAAATGTAGTGACTCAAAATAGAATCACTACAGACTCAAGATTGAGTCTGTAGTGACTCAATTTTGAGTGACTAAGCAACAAAGAGCTATGCAGCATTATTAACTAAGACATTTGTTGACACTTGTATAATAAAGAACAGACACCAGTAAGTATCTGCATAGTATTGTTGTTGTTTTTTCATTCTTTGTGTTATTCAGCACCTTTTATTTGTTATTGATCTGAACATATTCATTCATTAATGAATGATTGATCATTTTTCCTCATTATTTCCTGACAACAAACATTGTGATCATAACTCGGTTTATTTTTATGTTTCACTTTAAATTTCGTACATACAATAAGAAGGATGTACCAGCTCAAAATTGCTCTTTTGAGAAATGTTCCAGATCTATTATTATTATTATTGTTATTATTATTATTATTATTATTATTATTATTATTATTATTATTATTATTAATGTATTGATTAATTCATTTATTTATTAATTACCAGAGTAACTCTTTGTCTTAAAATATTTTACAATTATCACCACAAGAATTGACCAAAAATCGAAACTTTATCCTTTTGAACACCTTGAACTTCCAGACAGTACAGATTGACAACTGTCCTTCAAATATGAACTTCCTAGTTCATAGTTTTGACTTAAATCATCTGGTAAATCTCTTGTTAGTCCATTTTAACTCAGGAATCAAGGAAATAAAACTATTTCATACAATAAACATCTAAAAATCAGACTTTATTGTTTCAGCTTGAATTAGCATTAAGGCGGTGAGCTTGGAACAATCTTACCTAACATCTGTGCTTACATAGCACCAAAGCTACATATGAGATCAATCGAGTTCCCTTGCAGGGCTCTGTTTACCTGCTTTAACCCTGTTTTTCATGTTATTTAAGACTGTACAATATTGAAAACGGCTCTGTTAAGGCCCTAATATGAAAAACAATGCCACAAAATTCCAAACCAGCACAAAATGACTGTTTTCAAGCAATAGAAAACACCACAGAGGACTCTTTACATTGACCACTATTCCCAGTTGGGCTTGACAATTCCCAAAGGAAAGGTGTGAAGTTGAAGAAATAACTTCGGTCTGATACAGTGTAATCATTCTGATCACCAAAGTACTGTGACACTTGTCGGAGATCTAAACATAAATAAAAATAAGCCAGTCTGACTCCTGTCCTTCACATTCAAGAAAAATACACAACATTACCAAAATTGTTTTTGTGGCTATTTGAAAAACTGAGCAGAAAACTGAGTTTATAACATGCTAAAATCTGGAAACTTTACAAAAGACTAGAAAACTCCTGGGAAGTTTCCACACATACTGTATATGAAAATCTGTTTTCTCATCTTTACTTATGAATGTAAACAAAATCACATGGGAGGGGGAAAGAAAAAGGGGAGTGGCTTTCTTTAACATCCAATGCTGACCTTGTATCATTCTGAAACTTCCAGGTGACATGCTAATTAGAGAAGAGGAAGCTTCCATGGGTGGAAAAAAACTAGAGAAACCTTTTAAATAACTGAGCTGAGTTAGTGAGTTTTCATGTTGTTGTTTCTTCCGTATTGGAACACAGTATAGACCATGGCCTTTTGACATCAGTGGATGATATAAAGTAAAATCTATAAACAAATTGAAGTTTTTTTTAAGAATCTGTCCCTGATACGATTTAATTCATAGGATTATTTACACATTTTCAATTATTTAATGTTTTCAAAAGAAATACTAACAAGAAGACTTTTGGTTGTAAATGTAGAAATAAATTGCTCCTGCATAAGAAACAATCATTAATATTTCAGAGGCAAACATGGTTGTATTAGTGAGTATCTGCAGATGTTTGTACAAATATGAGTTGTGCAAAGAAACACTTCCCTAAGGTTTGAAGTAAATAATTAATATAAATGAGTAGATATGTTAAAAACAGAGTTTTAAATATCTGGAGGAAAAATGACTCAAAAACCCTTGAAAAATACTCCAGATTTTGTATTAAATAATGTAACATACTGTTTAATACAAAGAGTACAATATTTACAAGATAAATATAT